CATGCTACTGGTGAACAATGTGGAGGCCGGGATCGAGGGAAAGGTTTTGAAAATGGGCAACTTGTACGATCCGGCGACCGGACCGGTTTACAGAGTGAGTGGCAAATTTATCAAAGTTCTATGTGAAACTGGTTTTATACAACATGAACGCCGATCATCACTTCACTCTGATGCAGTGCATACCACGATTTGCAGGGTGATCTCAGAGGCTTCCTTTATTTCTGCTATTAAGTATAACAAGTGAATTTAATTTTCATGCATAAAACATCATGAATGGTATGTCTGTGAGAGTTCAATGGACTTGAAACTGGCGACAAGGTGCATCGTGAAGCCGTTTCGTTCACGATGCAGCTATTCCGTAGTAAGTGATTTTCGTGACGGTTCTATACCCTGAGGTCTGTTGACTTCACTGTCACGTTGAGGACCGCAAGCTGGTGATATCGGACGGTCTATTAATCTCCCGAAATTTCATATTTAAGGCTTACGTGTTATAATGAACGCCACTAGTGTCTCAAATGCTATATTCCCTTCATGGTTACATAAATACTGCCAGAATCATGCTCCATAAATAATTCGATGAGGGAACCACTTTATATTCACCTGTTAGAGAATCCACTCAAATTCTTTTATTTTCTGCCTAGATGTACGACCGACAGGATTGCCTGTTGCTCAACCCCCCACTATTATACGGGAAGGGCAGAGCGAACACGACGGGTGAACAGCACTCAGAAAGTACTCTATGATCATGAAGCCTTGTGGCAAATTTGTTCACACTATTTATGCACGAATTCTGCTCTTCTATTTAAGATATATATACATGTCTGTATATACTGGTTCGGAGATACGTATGCTGCCGCGGCAACAACACTGAAACTGAAAAGCGAGCGTGTCGGATGTAAACAAGTGTAGCAAACTCTAATCAATCTTCTGAGAAAAATTATGTGAAGTTCGCCGATGTTACATGATTTCACTTTATCATCATCATCACCTCCATTTACGGAACAGTCATTTGATTTAGGGAGACATATTTACCTTTCTGGTAAACCTTAATCTTGGTGGTGCGGAATCCATCTCATTGCCAAATTGATCATCATCATCTTAGAGAAAATGGTTGATGTAATGCATCCTTAGAATAAACACCAACCATCGGTTTTCGAACGCCACTGTCTCCACCCAAATTCAATGGATCTTAAGGGGTTGGGTGGGTGTGGACAACCGGATAGGCAATACCAAAGTAGGGCGCCAAGATCTAAGTAATCTTTGTCACTCAGCGATGCGTACTGGCGCTAGTTTCGATATGTGGTACGCATCCTATAGGATTGCTATCTTCGTCGTGCAATGATTGCCGAGGCATTTAGCGGGTGAAAGAACATCAGTTATCTTGGAATGAAAAATGTGATCAGAGAACTGGATCAGATAGTTCGCTTTCAAATTCTTGGTTAGAAACATTGGGACTCACCCGATCAAAGGTTAAACCTCAGAAGTCATTTGGCTAATTGTGGTAAGTAATAGTGCCCATGAATCATCTTACCACGTCCAATTATATATGGCTTACTTGTTTCGTACAGTTTGATCTTTTGACTGCACTCAACTTTTTGCATCTTCCATTTATTGCTTCCTCATTGGTCGATCAAATGGACAGACAGAAAACAGCAACCGAACCTGTCGCCAGATAATGCATGGTTAAGGGTTCTGCATATTGAAATGAATCAGTGGTTTCGATCTTCTTTCACCGAATTCACTAAAATAATCAATTGCTATCTGTCCAATTCAAACTGGCGGATAATTTTCAGTCTTCAGGCGCTCGATGTAGTTCGTGTTTTTTAATGTTATTCATTGACTACATGTGCTAGAAAATACTATCTGGTTGACCTGATAACAGTACAGCCTGATCAGTTTTCGCTTAGATTTGATTAACTGCGCGTCATTTTATTTTCGTATAAGGATTCAAAGAACATACAGAAGTTGATCCACCTGGAGCGGCATGGCTCTCATTTATAAAATGCACTTGTGTTTTCAATATCAGGCTTGTAAATCGATAGCTGTGGGTGAAGAATATTACTCTGAACTTTATCTCCCACTACAATGTTCTTACTTCTCTTGTAAGACCATTTGAATTTACGCGACCTTGAGGATCAAGATAAAACTGTTAGTAGTTCAAAAGTTACGGCTCATATAATATTTGATGCAAAGCAGCATGGTAATTTGTTCATTCTAATCAATGATTCCTGTATCATAAGAGTGATGATTGGTTTCAATACACGTATTCCAAATGGCTTATCTCTTTTCATTGAATAAACATTAATTAAGCGGAGTAACGAAAATTTGCTAGCCTAAATAAGTTGATAAACTCTTTGACTACAAACTACTCTTATTTGAATATTAGGATAGTCAATCAAATCAATCAATATTAATTATCGCATACATACTACTTACAAGTAACTGTGAGTCAAATGAGAATATTAGTGCCGCGTCTGATGCGAGACTATCATATTCAAACCCCTGAAGGAGGATCGGAGCACTCAGCGTTAGAAGGAACATTTGTGACGAACGTCCGGTGTTGCACGAGTTTAATCAATATTTGTTCTGTAGACCCGTTCTGGTTCTGAATCCCGATCCGTAGGAAACCAATAGTGAATAGAAATTGACAAGAAATTGATGTGGCAGACAGATTTCAGTCAACTATTACGGTGGATGGATTTTGTTTTCCATTGTTTATTTAAGATGGATCCATTCGGTACTAAAAGAACTCCAAAAGTGGCAAGAATAACGTTCATTTTCTACAAATTATAACCGGCTATCATTTCTTGATCCCAATGCATCTGATCAGAACGTTTACGTGGTTGCACATGAGGACAGTTTGACACCGACCGGCGAAAATTGCAACTCACGTGCGGTGATTGCACCATGGTCGCCCGGGTTACGAGTTGAAAATATTGTGTTGCGTAATTTCAACGGGCCCAATTGCACAGCGATCTTTGGCACTGTAATCACATGCCAGTGTACACGACTATGTGGAGGCTACGAACTTCGTACACGGTAAATATTCCTTGATTAGAGTTTATACTGTTATATTTCATCATTTTAACTAAAAAAAACTGATCTATATTCCGTTTTTGTTAGTTCTTTTAGCGTGGATGAGAAGAAGAAGAAGATTTGACTTCAGTGCATGTCTTAGAACCTTATTCATCCACTTTTGATAAAGAGAATGCAATATCAACTCATTTACAGTAAGGAACATTCAAACAGCACTTAATAGAATGCGCCCCCGAAATATGTGACATGCATCCATGTAGTTAGGTTGTGAAAGTTTCAAACCGACTAATAAACCCGGAGGCTAGAGTTGAGACAAGCGAGGTGCGATACCCGCGACAATCTCTCAAAGATGGGTTTTACCATATAGTATAAATGGAAAATGAATAGCGGTCTGACCCACAGCCCTGTAGTCGAGTGGGTAGTATGTTTGGGTCGATGGACTCGCGCACTGCTGAGGAGACTCAACCTGGTACAAACAGATTTGTGATCTTTCCCAGCTTCGTTTACTCCATACACGACGAACTTCCACTAATAAAAACGCCGCTGTCGATGATCGCCCTTCACGGTTAACAAGAGTTCTAAGTTATTTCTATCTGGTGTTAACAGAACAAGTTCGTATTGTCTGAGAACAGATTCGGGCAGTCGTGAAGTTTTGCGCAAGAACATCACAAATGAAATTATGAATGGGAAAGACGAAATATTCATTTATTTGAAATCATCCGGAAATTAGGTTGGGAAAATATTACATTCAACAGAGATTTCCTGAACTAAAATGTGGCTACTGATGTACACAATGGTTTTGGCTATCGCTGATTCAAAGCAGATCGGTTTTACGATCCAATCAGTCTGCCTTCCAATTAAATAATGTTATTCAGAGCTGAACTCGTGCTATGTGTTTACAAACACGCATTTCGGATAATTTATTCCACTTGACTAGAAACATCACCTGGGAGAATACAACCAATCGAGTCCAGTTTCGTTGGCCCTCAGATCTGCTACTGAGAGACGAGGATAGTTCATTGGTGGCTGGCATCAGTGGATTGAGCCCCATGGATGGCGCTTTGATCATGCCCTACGCGAATCACTTACCCAAAGATAAATGCGGACCTCAGGCCCCGGGAGCGGGTGACTTGGGCACCGCGTTCGGGCAAGGAGCGGTTCCTGGAGTGCGTTGTTTACCGGAAATCACCGCCATCCGGTATTCCGTGGGTCAACTTTTACCGACCGTCGGAGTTGGAAGCAATATGACAATTGCAATAGCGGACGGAGGGGATACGGAAGATGTACCGTTCAAAATGGAGGGTTTGACTGAGCCTAAAGGTTGGATGACAACTCTGGTGAACAATTATACCCTTCAAGTTGGATGGCGCGCTCTGTCCATGTTCACGAATTTGAGCTATGTGGCACATGTGGAAAACTTTCGTGTGAGTTTGACCTTTTTTGTATGTATGTATGTAATAACCGGCAACCCGATCGATTTTGGTGCACACAGTCGTGCTGTCATCATCATCTGTTGCGTTAATGATATGTGGCATCCTTGCGTATACACCATTTTTTATCGTATCATTAAAATGAAAACCTCGTGTCCGAATCAATTTG